ATGAATGTGGCAGACGAAGTGTGAAATAAGGACACCATTTCATGTTTGAAGGACGGACATGTTCTGATTGTGGCTCGAGAATTTGGACGATTTGTGAACTCGGATCAAGTCGTGTGCAGATTGAAGAATGTTAATACGCAATCAGACATTTCATACTGATTCAGTATTCCATAGAAAGACGCTGTCAAATATTACAATCAGTTGATTCAGGCAAGTATAGGGCAATAATTCGGACCTTGGCATATGTTGCATGTGAAAAAATCCTTTATTGAAGCTCATAGTGGCCAGTACCTACCGCTATCAAGTTAAGTATTCTCATTACAAAGAAACATAATCTATCTCAGCAAGACCCATTTTGGGCATTTACATCAACAATATCTTGAGATACCCAGCGAATTTGAGTGATCTGGCAGCCATATTGGAATTGAAGTGGCCAGCACTCTTTTCTTGAAATGCAATTTGAAATGAGCATCTTAACCAAATTTCATGATTACATCATTAAATGAACGATTACTTCTCTGCTCCCTTAGAAGAATCTAAAGATGCAGTCAGACTACCCATAAATTTCCCTGGAATCCAGCTATTTTCTGTGGGGTGGAACCAACACACCCATCCGTGGTGTTCACACTGCGAAAAGAACCATCAGCTTTGTCCAGTGCAATCGCTGCATCAAAACAAATCGTGGCCGCAGAAACTTGCTATGGATCCTGCCATCTTCTTAAGTATTGCTCATGTTTACAGAGTTCTAACCTTTTCTAGGAGGGAGTGAATTATTTCAGAATTCCGTATTTTGAATATTCACGGAATCTGCAGTTTCGTTTATATTTAGTTTTTGTTAGTATTTTAGCATTAATTGCAATTTAAATATTGATGTTAAACTAAATATGAATAATAATTCGCAATATATAATAATATTTGTGCTTTGAAATGAAAATATATGCATACCGTGCATACTACAGAGCTCAACGTGTGCATTTTTTCCACTCGTCCATCGATGGACGAGTGGCTATCCACCGCATCGAACGTGTGAGCGGAAGTCCAGTGGATTGAGTCCATCGATGGACAAATTCCATTAAAAATCGCTGGATTTCACGAATCTGTAGGTAGTCTGACCGAACGTTAAA